TAGAAGAATTGATGCATTTGAGTTACGGTGTTAGTGCATAATATTAAAAATACCATGAAGTGCCAAAAGTACAAACAAATCTGTGTTGGAAGAAGGACAACCAGAGTGCTCCTTAGAAGCCAGGATGGCCAGATTTCATCTCTCATTCTTAGGACATGTTATCATGAGGGACCAGACCCTGGAGAAGGTCATTATGTTTGGTAAAGTGGAGAAAAAAGAGGACAGCCCCAATGAGATGGAGTGACACAGTGACCGCAGCGATGGGCTCAAGCACAGCAATGATTGTGAGGTCAGCATAGGACTGGGCAGTGTTCTGTTGTGCATGGGTTGCTATGAGTCAGTACCGACTTGATGGCATCTAACAACAATATACCTTTCAAGTGGCTGTTCAAAGTACAGTCCTTGGAATGTATTCACCTGGAGCAACAGAGGAAGAAGGAGACAGGAGGGGAACAAGAGGAGGAAATGGGATATGTGGCTAGTTTCCTCCAGGAACAGCTGCCCCTTTTGCCAGGAAACCAGAACTGGATGGTGCCCGGGGAGCAATACTGAAGGATTTGATGAAAGATTCGATTTCTTCTGACTCCTGATCAAAAGGGGGAAATGTAGAACAGAATTTCAAATTATCATGGAACCCAGACTGTTTTCTGGAGCCATGGAAGCTGAATAACCCTTCAAAGCTATTATCCTTTAAAAAAAAAATCTTTGAACCTTAAATCAAAAATATTTCCTGAAGTCATCTTAAAAGCAAACAATGATGGTGGTGGTGTGCCATGGAGTCGGTTCCGACTCCTAACGACCCCATATAGGGTTTCCAGGGCTGCAAATTTTTCCAGTAGCAGAAAGCCTCATCTTTGTACTGAGGAGTGGCTGGTAGATTTGAAATGATGGCCTTGTGGTTAGAAGCCTGACTCGTAACCAACTAAGCTACCAGCGTAACCAGTAAAGAATGTCTGTCTTGAGCACTGTGCTCTTTAAGATCTAGCTCCATGGGACCAAACTGACAACAGTAACTCCCAAGATTAGACAGGAACCTTGGGGGTGGACGGGTGGGTGAGTTGATGTGAGTGGCGGCGGCACAGCTCCAAAAGGGAGGCTGACAACAACCACACAATCACAGACTGCCAGCACTGTCTCTGAGTTGTCTGCGCCGAGTCTGCTGAACTGGAGCATATATATTCTCAACAACAACAAAAATAATCATGAAAACACGAAACCTTACCAATGATCTCCGTGGTAATGGAGGCCAAAGCAAACAACGGAGCCACCTTCTTTTCATAAATCCTCTTGCCTTGTCGTTTCCCTCCAAATGGATTGATGAACACTAGTAAATGCTTTGGTCTACATGCTGTGGAGGGGAGAAAAAGACACGTGTCTAAAGAAATCACAACAAAGAATCCAAATGAAGACTGTGCGACTGAGCAAAACGCAGCCACAATGGCTTCAGCATTCTGCTTCATGTTATCCGACAAGAAGGTAGTTTTAGATCTTAATGAAGAGTTATAACAACTTTCTTATCCTATGAAAATAAAAAGACAGGTTATCAGAATGGGCTGGGGTGCAAGCAGTCTGTTCTTGGTTACTAGCCTGAAGGTTGGTGGCTCGAGGCACAGTGGAAGAAAGACCTAGAGATGTGCTCAGTGACAGGCTTGGATCAAGCAAGCACTTTGCACATCCACTTGTTGTTAAGTGCCGTCGAGTCAGTTCCAACTCACAGAGACCCTTTATGGGGTTTCCAAGGAGCGGTTGGAGGGTTTGAACCACTGATTTTGTGGCTGGCAGTCCAGTGCTGAACCCATGGAGCCACACCAGGATTCTGTTTAACAGACCATTGTTGTTAAATGCTGTCAAGTCAGCTCTGACTCAGAGCAACCCTTTATAGCAGTGGCGGGTGGGTTTGAACTGCTGACCTTGTGGTTCACAGCCCCGCTCATAATCCATGACAGTACCAGGGCTCCTTAATGCCCATAATAGCCAAGTCCGTATTTGATATGGGAAATCCAGCAAATTGCTAAATTACAGAATCTGGGTGATGGGTATGTGAATGTGTACAGTGAAGTTCTTGTCACTGTTCGGTGTATCTGGAAATGGTTACCAAAAACCATTCAGGGGAAAAAAAAACAGTCAGAGGAAATAGGCAGAAGACAAACATCAACAAAGGCAAAAGTTGATTCTTTGAAAAAAACAAATCATACAAATGGATAAATCCTTAAAAAGAGTGATAAAGAAAAAGGGCAAAAGATAAGTAAATTACCAGTATCAGGAATAAGAAAGGGGGGTGGCAGTCTGGGGAGAGCTATAAATGTTACAAAAGGAAACAAAAGCTTCTATTGATACACTAGGCCAATGCTAACTGGATGAAATGAACATAGTTCTCAAAAAAATTTAATTAACCAAAGCTGATGTTGTTGATAAGTGCCATCCAGTCTGTTCCGACCCATACAGACCCTGTTATCGGGTTTCTGAGGAGCCAACGGTGAGTTTGAACCGCCGACTTTACAGTTCAAACGGCTTTGCAGTCTTGTGCATTAACCCACAGCGCCAAGAGCTGAAAAAACCTGAATTGTCTGATATCTAATTGTTGTTAAGTATCATAGTGCCAGTTCCTAGTCATAGTGACCCTGTATATGGTTCCATGGTGCTGTGGGTTAATGCGTCAGACTGCAAAGTTATTTAAACTGCAAGGTCGGCGGTTCAAGCTCACCAGCTGCTCCTTAGAAACCCTATACAGGGTCGCTATAGGTCGGAATCAACTTGACGGCACTTAACAACAACAAATCTTCCCAGCAGCCGAAGCCTCATCTTTCTCCCATGGAGTGGCTGACGGATTCGAACTGCAGACTTTGTGGTTCACAGTCCAGTGCTTATCACATGGAGACACTGTGCTTCCCTGATAGCTAATAAACATGCTAAAGTCCTTCTCCACAAAGAAAGCCCCAGGTCCAGCTGGCTTCACCAGCGAAGTCTTTCAAACACTGAAGGATAAAAAATAACACCATTATTAAACAGAATCTTCCAGAAGGTAGAAGAAAGGCAGAGAGGGAGGGAGGGAAGAGAGAGGCAGGGAGACTGACTTCTCAACTGAGGCCACTGGAACTTTGGCAACAAAACCAGCTGAGGATTTACCAGAAACAGCCTGATTGCCTCACTGAGGTGCAAAAATCCTAAACAGCATGTGGAGAAGTCAAAATCCAGCAACATACACAGAGGGTAAGACACCAAGTGGGGTTCACTCCAGGAATGCAAAGGTGATAAGTCATCCCATTAACCCATTGATCCTCATCTCACAGATGCAGGAAAAGCATGTGTCAGCTGCAACACTCACTTCTGATACAAAGTCTCAGAAAACTGGGATGGAAGGAAAGTCCTGCATATGATACAAGATAGCAATTTAAAAAAAAAAAATAACCTAAACCAATCAAGCCCTGTTCTTAAAAACAAAACACTGAAAAAACACCCCTCACCCGAGTCCAGGAGCGAAACAACCAGGCCTGTGTGGTCACTGCTGCCATGGGGTCCCAACCAGGGTGACCACCCGAGGAAAATACGGTGGGAGAACAAAAGGGGAAGGGATCGAACTGTCACTGTTTGCAGATGACGTGACAGGGTTTGTAGAAGATCTAAAAGAATCATTAGACTATTAGAATCAGTGTGTGAATTCAGCAAGCCCATTGGAACCAAAACACAACGTTCAACTGTTTATACGTGTATATATGCAAGCAATAATGTAATAAGAGCGCTGGTGATGCAGTGCATTAAGCACTGGGGAGCTAACGGGAAGGTTCAAACCCACCAATTGCTCCACGGAACAAAGAAGAGGCAGTCCGCTTCTGTAAAGATTTCCAGCCCCAGGGACCCATGGAGTCGGAATCAGCTCTTCTGTAGTGTGTTTTTTAATGCAACAGAACCGAGAATGTTGGCAGTATAGTCCACAGGGTAAAAGGACAGTGTTTTCAATAAATGGCTCTGGGTCATTTGGGTAGCTATGGATTTTTTTAAATGGGCCTTGACTGCTTACTTGACACCACTGTGCATAGTTCAGACCCAGGGACTCTATAGATCTAAACATGAAATACAAGACAAGAAAACGTGGCAGAACAGCTTCGGGATCTTGGAGAAGACAAAGATGTCTTAAATGGACCACAACCACACTCTAAAGTTTAAAAGAAAACGCCGACTAAGATGTATGAAAAGTAATAATTTCTGTTCATGAAAAGAGTGTGGACAGGCCAGCCATGCAATGGGTTATGTTATTCATAAACCCAATAATAGGTTCAGACGTGCAGCATACAAAGACGTTCTATCTAACATTAGGGAAAAGATAACCCAACAGAAACATGGGCAAAAGACAAGAGAGCATGCGTCAGTGACCCATAACCATGAGTGTATTTCTCAATCTCATTAGCCATCAGGGAGATGCAAATCCAAATGCCCACCCAAATGGCTCAAATTCAAAAGGAGTGGTTAAGATATTGGCATCGGAACTCTGAGACCCTGCTAGTGTTGATGCCAGTGAGTGTTACCATTTTGGAAAGCCACCTGTGGGTGTCTACTAGAGTTGACCAGTTGGGTTACCCATGGTGGACAGGTTTCAGTGGAGCTTCCAGACTAAGACAAACAAGAAAGGCCTATCGACTTCCAGACACTGGACAATGGAAACTCTACTGACCACAAGAGAACACTGTCTGATAGAATCCTGGAAGATGAGTCCCTTACATTGGAAGGCTCTCAAAGCACATAGGCCACAGCCATGGACTTGAGGAGACTGATGATTGGGAAGCATTTCGTTCTGTTGTATAGCTAAAGGTCCCCATGGAGCTAAAGAAAATTACAAGTTCATGAGAGCCAAAATATAGCCTTGTATATAACCCACCTGAATTTAGAGATCATCTGCAGAACAGGTTTGATGCATTAGACACTAAAGACCGAAGACCAGAAGAGTTGTGGAATGATATCAAAAACATCACAGAGGAAGAAAAAGGTCATTAAGAAGACAAGAAAGAACAAAAAGACCAAAATGGACGTCAGAAGAGACTCTGAAACTTGCTCCCCAGCATAGAGATGCTAAAGCAAATGGAAGAAGTGAAGAGGTACAAGAACTGAACAGAAAATTTCAAAGGTCAGCTCTAGAAGACAAAGTCAAATGTTATAACAAAATGTGCAAAGACCTGGAAATCAAAAGGGAAGAACATGCCCAGTGTTCCTCAAGCTGAGGGGACTGAAGATAAAATTCAACCTCGACTTGTGGTATTGAAAGACTCTATGGGCAAAATATTGAATGATGCAGAAAGCATCAAAAGAAGATGGAAGGAATACACACAGTTATTTCAAGAGGTAGCATAGCAGCCAATGATTCTAGAGGAAGAAGTCCAAGGTGCCCTGAAGGCATTGGCAAAGAACAAGGCTCTGGGAATTGATGGACTACATATTGAAATCTTTCAACAAACTGATGCAGCCCTGGAGGCACTCACTCATCCATGCCAAGAAATTTGGAAGATTTCTTGGCATAGATGAGTTCCATGTAGCCCAAAGACTGGAAAAGATCCATATTTGCACACATTCCAGAGAGGTGACCCAATGGAATGCAGACATCATCAGACAATATCATTGATATTCCATGCAAGTAAAATTTTACTCAATTTGCTTATGAACAATGTATGGTCTATTCCACAGTCTGCCCAGGCCTTGTTTTAGCTGATGATACGGAGCTTTTCCACTGTCTCTTTCCACAAGTGTGGTGAATTTGACTTCTGTGTATTCCATCTGATGAGGTCCATGTGTATAGTCATCTTTTATGTTGCTTAAAAAAGGTATTTAAAATGAAGAATTCATTGGTCTTGCAATATTCTATCATGCGATCTCCAGCATCATTTCTGTCACCAAGGCTGTATTTTCCAACTACTGATCCTTCCTCTGTTTCCAACCTTTGCATTCTAATCACCAGTGATTATCAATACATCTTGATTGCATTTTTGACTAAATTTCAGACTAAATAAATTGGTAGAATTCTTCAATTGCATCATCACTGGCTTTAGTGGTTGGTACGTAAATTTGAATCATAGAGGTATTAACGGATGTTCCTTTTAGTTGTATGGATGTTATTCTATTACAGACAGCATTGGACTCTCTATTCTTTTTGACGATAAATGCGACACCATTCCTCTTTAATTTGTCATTCCCAGCATAGTAAACCATGTGATTGTCAGATTCAAAATGACTATTACCGGTCCATTTCAGCTCACAAGGATATCGATCTTTATGTGTTCCATTTCATTTTTGACAATTTTCAATATTCTTAGGCTCATACTTGAATTTTTTTCTTTAGTTCCCTAAGCTTGAGAAATGCTT